ATTCGGTCCTTTACATGAAGCTACAGATAAAAATGGAGGCCACACTCCAAATACCTACTTGAAGCACAAACTATGTATCACTATCTCGCTCTCTGTGGGCAGACTCTCTCTTTCTAAATAAACAAAAAATATAAAGGACAATTGGCAAAATGGTACCCGGCTCCAATAGATAAGCTTCTAGTGTCATTTTAAAGGTCTTACCAAGACGAACAATGTTTACTATGGCCACCAGCCTCAGATCTGGTTGCGTTCGAAGATAAACATACTTTTTGTGTAACCGAAGTATCATACGTGTCCATCGTAGTTATGGTACTTAGGTTATGCGAGGCATGAAGGGTTTACTGCTCCAACATCCTTCCTTAACTCTATAATTATTGATAGGGATAATTGTGAAATAAATGTGTTTTTTTTTTTAAGAAACTACCCCCTTTTTAATAAAAAAGTTATACCTAGGATGAATCTTGGATTAAAATGACATTTCCATGCCAAATGACAATTTAAGCCAGAGTTCAACTAGGGTGTAACTTTTATTAATAACTAGCTGACCCGGCGAACTTCGTACCGCCTTAACGTAGAGATTTTCTTTATATTTTTTTCCGTAAAAACCTTGTACAGAGTATTAGAAAACTACAAAAAAAAATCAGCCAAATCGGTCAAGCTGTTTTCATGTTATGTCGTGACAACGGAAAACGGGTTTCATTTTTATATATACAGGGTGGAAACGATAAGTGATCTCACTGGATTATTTCTAAACTATACAAGATATCAAAAAACTAGTAAAACCTTTAAGAAGTAATAAAACCTCAACCCCTTCTATACAGGGTGGAAACGATAAGTGATCTCACTCGATTATTTCTAATACAAGATATCAAAAAACTGGTTACTGATCCTGAAAGTGCTTCACGAGCTCTTTCAAACGGTACCAACAACAAGTTACAGAATAATCGGGATCTATCCGTAAATTCAATGTTTCCAGCTTCCATACTAAATGTATGCCAACCACTCAATATTAGAAGTGTAATTTTTTTAAAACTTTAAATAAACTCGCAAATTGCATTCTTATTTAAAATTATTTATGGAAAACATTAGTTTTAGGCTTTACTTGCTATAAAATTTGCTGTAATATTATCAAGGGTAACGCATTTTCTTACATAACTTTTCAATTCCTATCATTGGAGGTCCGAAAATATTTCTCATACAATTTGATACCATAATGATCATTCTTCATAAAAAATTTAAAACCTACATATTTAAAGACATAATCATTGATATTCATAATATCACTAATCATACACTTAGTTTTTACTAATATTTGTTTTCATATATTTTTCTATACTAATGATCGAAACTCATAATCATTCGAATAAATAACTATAATATTCATAAATGTGATGTATCCTAATATATGTTTTCATAAATGTATTACTCATAAGTGTATTTATCCATATTATTGAAATACATGATGTCTATATTCGTATTAAATCGTATTTTAATATTAAATTAATTTGAAATGGTCCAAAACAGGCAATATTTTGTGCCACAAAACTAACGTGACAGAAACGAATCGCTGCAAAACCGACTCCACGTAGTCTTGTCTGCCCTACCCCTAGAGTGTAATTTAAAAGCCGGAGGCGCGGAGGGAGGGCAGCCCTCGCCCGCTGTAACGAGGCTCAGGCGCCCGGGCGAGCTGGAGCGGCTGAGGCTGGTCGCCGAGGCGCCGAAGGCGCCGATGGCGGTCCAAAAAGCCGAAGCTGCGGAAGCAAGCGTGGGTGCCTGAGCCTCGTTACGCAAGGGCGGAAGGGCTGCACATCCCGCAGCGCCGGAGACGACGAGAAACCAATACATGCTGCATGCTTGCTTTCATGCTGCATGCTCTGCATGCTTATCTACTCTATTAAATTATATATGATTTTTTTAAAGATACGAGTATGTCTGTTATAAAGTAAATTATTCTGAACAACAACATTATGAGTTGAAGTATGTTCTTAGTAACAACATTATTAATTAAAACAATATGATCAATGAATGTTATGAAGAAAAAAGATCTGAAAATAAAAATTATGTATTTTAAATGGTTCTTGGTAGTAACAGTATTGATAAAAAAATTATGATTACTAACTGTTATGAGCTCCGATGGTAGTAATAAAAATGTATGAATAAAAAAAGTATGAAAGATAAAATTATGAAGAGAGATTATTATGAACAAAAATCGGTAGTAAGACAAAGAATAGGATTTAGAATTTTATGTGAGCCAATATAGAACCTTATCAAGAGATGAGTACCATTATCTGTGATAGTACTAAATGTATGAAAGATGGAAACATTTAATTTTTAGATAGATCCAGTTTATTCTGTAACTTAATATTGATACCATGGGTAGAGCTCGTGAAACACTTTTAGGATCAGTAACCAGTTTTACGATATCTTTTGTAGTTTTTAATATTATGAGGCTGTACCAAATGTATGAAAGCCGGAAACATTGAATTTTCGGATAGATCCAGTTTATTCTTTAACCTATTATTGGTACCGTTTGATAGAGCTCATAAAGCACTTTCAGGTTATGGGTTGCTAAAGCGAATAAACCCACAAGACACATAAGTCATAAGATGCACCGACGGCCTCATAAAGGTAGCGGGAAGGCGCTGGATGCAGGCCCGCCACCAACCGGCCATTGTGGAAATCATTAGGGGAGGCCTATGTTCAACTGGACGTCCTATGGCTAAAATGATCACGATGATGATGATGAAAGCATTGAGTTATAATGTACTACGTACTAGAGAAGACATGTCAACTAGACTGTTTCTGGCACGTAAATAGGTCCACGGACCGAAATTCAATTAGTATGTGCTCAGCGGTTGCTGTGACAACACGCTTGAGTGCAGTTTTGTTTTTTGAAATATGCCATCCTATAGACGAAAATACTGTTCAAATAACTCCAGATAGATATTAAGTAAAAATCAAGGAATGACTTTTTACCATTAAGTTGTACATATTTATGCACTTTAAAATACTAATTTAATTTTAATTTGTTAATTACAAGACGTCACCGCGGCGGCGGCCATTTTACGAAAATTTCAAAGAATAAAAATCGCAGACTTGACACTGACGCATAAATTAGTATACGAAAGAAAGTTTAAATACAGCAATAAAAAGATTTTTTTAAAGATTATAAGCACTTTGTATTGCACAAATTACTAATAGTCCCGTCCAGCCCCTTGTGTTAAGCTAAATAAGCTTGGGTTACGGGTGGGCTCACACAATAGTCGTGCGGCATCATGGATCAAACTTGTTTGAATCTCACTGCTGTTGTTCGTATGCGACTGGTTAGTTAGTAAATCACCCTAATTATTGACACCTAGCTCACGAGATAGGCTAAAATTATAATAATTGTACAGTGTGTCTGGTCACCAGTGTCCGACCCGTTAGGGCGCAGTAATATATACAATTGATTAGAGATTCATATAAAGAAAAATAGAGTTTATCAGTAGGTATGTATGATCTGTGAAAAATTAAGAAAATAAAAAACAATTTCCAAAATAGCAAGGTTTTTCAATGTGGTCACAAATTGTATTTTTCACTAAAGGGGGTTCGGCGGTCAATGAAGATATAGATTTCGTGACGTTTCCGCACATAGATTTAAATAATAGATACCGCATGTCAAATACCTAAATATAATAAAAAGTATGAAAACGAGCGTGTCATTCTTCGTAATCCATAAGAGTAGGCGCACACCGTTGATTTTTAGTTGGCCGATAGTTGTGCCCGATTTCAAATTGTATGATGAATCGGCCAAATCGAAGTAGGCGTAGTGTGCGCACGTAGGACTGATCATAGCGACGGCTAAGGGTGTCTTGGCCGCAGCGGGGGGAAATGAGACACAACGACGGACGGTTGATATCTGTTTATTGTTATGATTCTATTGCTATTTATACATAAGTTATTTACGGTACACAATGAAACGTATTTGCNAGTAATATTATTTCAATGGATGAAAGCGAATAAAGGGCTAATAGCTTGGGTAGTTCATCGTAAGTGTAATCCTTTCCTTTTCAATGCTTCTTTTAGTTATATTAATAGATTATGGTCATAATACATACTCGTATACATGGATGATTGTGTTATACTTTCATTATAATACTTAGTGGAATTACTGCTTTCAAAACGTGAATTAGAACTGGCCCCATAGCAGACATTTTTCTACATCTAAAGGCCTTTTGAAATATATATTGGTTATGGCTATTGGAGCGGGTACCACTTTCCATACAATTGTGCCCATCATCCTTTGCTCAAATTCAATGAAACTCAATGTAAAATCTTTATTTCTTGACATAGGTATCATTAAAAATGATAAGTGTAAATACTGGTAAAACGTTAAGAAGACATTACTGTAAAAAATGAGAAAAATGTTTACAATGATCCAATGTCGGAAATCACGAAATAAACACTTACGCGTGGAATCTTATGTCTATTCCAGGACACTACGTACTACCGCAACCACGCACTACAAAATTTTGCATCATTTCTTGTGATAAAACAATGATTATTTCCTGTAAACAATCTCAAACGAAATTAACTGCATAATAAACAAAATAGTAAACAACCGCCATGATGGGCCGGATTGGGCCGATGTTGCCACATGGTACCGATTCCCCAGGAATTGGGATTGTAATTCCCTGATTCGCCAACACATTAAACCTAAACGGCCGACAATTTTGTGATTTTTAATTCAACTAGGTAATCGTAGTTCAAATATTTAATTATTTATTTGTTTAACTTATGATTTGGTTAGTGAATTGGCTATTTCGAAGAATTTACTAGGAGATTTAAATCAGGAGATAGCAATACTACAGTTCACACTAAAAAAAGAGGTAGAGCCACAGAGAGCGAGATAGATATAAGTAGGTATTTGACTCAAGTTTTTGTTCCAAGTTTGCCCTCCATTTTTATCTTTAGCTTCATGGTCCTTTACCATTTTATCAAATCTGTCTAATTTGTCAGTTTTGTTGTCATTGTCAAAGTTGTCAAATGTGTGAAGTGATTTCATCGGAACTGAAACAATGATTTTCGAAGCTTTCTTAGCTGGTTTTTGGGCATCTATTGGCAGTACATTAGGGAAAATATCAGGAACCGAATCGATTGTTGTAAGTCTACTTTTTAGCATAAAGTTAGGGTTTATTTCATATTTGTTTCAAATTATTTTGGCTTTGTAGTCAGACAGCAGTTGTCATTTAGTAATTTTGACACTTTACTTTTTAAATGGAATATGCATGCGCAGGCACCAGTGTTGCCAGAAGGTTACTTTTGTAACCTTTTAGGTTACTTTTGAACTGCATTGGTTACTTTTAGGTTACACTAACGAAAAGGTTACTTTTAGGTGATTTTTCAGAAATTGTAAAATTAACTTTTACAGGTAATTCAGTAAAAAATATTAATACTAACAACTTAAAAATTCTGTCATAAACTGCATTTAAGCATGAATTTGATTTATTATTTGTTTAAAAAAATGAGTTTTAGCGAATGTTTTTCGTTAGTGAAACGCAAATCCATGAAACGTTTTTATACAACCGGTCACTTGGTCTTCATGGAATGGTCAAAATTTCGAATTTAGGTAAACGACTGATGATCAATTGTATTCATTTTCCATCCATGAACAACCTTACAACGCTCCCCACCCCCCCCCCCCCCGTATGAAGGTTACTTTTTATTCAAAAAGGTTACATTTTTTTATATTTCTGGTAACTTCTGACAAGACCCGACTGGCAACACTGGCAGGCACAGCTCTGGAAAGTTTTGGCTCGTTGATGGTGCGTCCAGACCATGTCGAGACTGGACGCACCATGAGACGAAGCTTAATAAGTAAAATCATCTTTTCTTTATTAATACAGGGCAATAGTTACGCAATATGGGTATTACTGTTGACCATCATGGTGGTAGTCAACACATGGGGTTGCAGGCACTATCTCCGTTCGCTTGATGCGTGCACCAATTCAGTCGCACCAACCGTGGTGTCTGCTGCTACAAGTTACATCTTATCTGTAAGTAAATGTAAAAACTATATAGCTCAGACACAGTAGATGCGGTTAAATAAGAAATAATACTTTTTTTACCGTTTATTAATTCTAGTAGAGCTTGTAGTCTAAATGCAGAAATAAGTATAAAAGTTACCGTGCAATCTGCTATAGTTGCCCTTATTTTACAGCTTTGTTGCAAGATCTTTATTTTTTCAGGGCCTCATCGGTATATTTCTATTCGAGGAGGGCGCGTCTATGACATGGTGGGCTGGTGCTATGCTCATCATTCTAGGACTGGCCCTAGTGGCACGTCCTCGGAACAAACCTAAAGCTGCATAGTTTTATTCGCACACGTAGGGTAGGTAAGGTGATTAAAGAACATGAATACGCGATAAAAGGTTCGCGAAAAAGAAATACTGTAAATGCAACAATAAATCAGGTACTTTAGTAACTAAGATACTACTAGATAATGGATACCTACTGTATTAACCTACTAATCCTACCCACCTACCTACGTGGATTCAATTTTATGTACAAATTAGTTAAGTAGGTACACGTAACAGTACCTATTATGTTTTTATTTTACGATCATTCCTTTATTAAGTGTTATTTAATCATTAGATAGTTGTACTTATAAAAATCAATTATTAAATATTTTTATTAATAAAATATTGTTTTCTTTAAGTTCCCCGTAAGTGTTTATTCAACTAACTATATCAGGCTATTCTTGTTTCACTGATAATTTTCAACTTACTAAAAAATTCGCTAGAAAACATTTCCCGCGAAAAGCAGGTAGGTTACTGGGATCAGCAGAAAACTTAATTGCGTCCTGAATTTGCAATTGAGCATGAATTACAGCAACTTTAATACCCTTTTAGGGTGCGACAATCGCTTGCTTTGTTTATACAGGATCGTCAAAAACGCAAAGTAAGTGTCCGACTTGCCTCCCTGCAGCGTCACATGTTCAGCCAGGCAATAATGATTAGGGACTTCGGTTGTAATGATAAGTTATCGATATCGATCTGAACTTAGTTACAGTTCGTTCGTTCGTTTCAGCCGAATGACGTCCACTGCTGGACAAAGGTCTCCTCCAAGGTTTTCCACAATGAACGGTTCTGCGATGCCCGCATCCAGGCTCTTCCCGCGACCTTCACCAGATCGTCGGTCCACCTAGTAGGAGGCCTGCCCACGCTACGTCTTCCAGCCCGTCTTAGTTACAGTACCATACCAGTAATACATAAAATAACTTCTTCAACGTCAATACTTATTTTTGACAATAAGTATACCATTAATGTTACCTACTGTGTACTGTGTGCACCACTCGATGAATACTGCTGCATGAAGTACGAGAAAACCAGAAGACTGGAAGTAAATTAAGCTAGCTGAAAGATGATGAAATATGACATGGACTGGCAATTTGCTCAATCCAAATTGAAAATCACCTGCTTACTACCAAAACTATTACTATTATCGATATGAAAGGGCCACCATTTATCGTCAGAGCCCAACCCGAAGGGCTTTATAGACGCAATGACGCCGGCGGCAGTAGCGCGCCGCGGGCCGAGCTCGGCGGACGCGCCCGTTCTTTCTGCCGCGCCACCACACTCGAAACTAACTCGATCGATAACAGAAAAACCACCAAAACTCGAAACGTCCACAGCACGACATCGACACGCTAAAACTACCCCCACTCAGCCAACCAATCATCCCATCGCCATCGATAACATCGCACGGCACACCGGCATCAACAATGTAGCCATAGTGACGCTCATGTTGACAATTTGACAGTTCATGTGAAACCGTTATTTTAATAAACATGTTTATCACACGTTGAGTGTTATTGTTGTTGTTTGTACTTTGTTAGCGACAATAATTCTGTTGATTGGCTGATTTTTATACAACAATCGCTATGGGGAATGGAATGAATAAGGTGAGTCTTTTTGTTATTATTTTAGATTGGTATTTTAATTAAGAAGGAAAGGTAAACAGTGAATCTGGAACGAGAGTGGGAGAGACTACGACACCGGGATTGTTACGTAACGTCATCGTAGTGAGCGTAGCTTCGTAGCGATTCGTAGCATCCCGTGATACCGTAGCCGTAGCCGCGTAGTCCGTAGCGGCACTGAAGAAACTTTGATTTGATAGAATGTTTGATAGTGCCTTTTTTGTTTTTTCTTAGTTAATATACTTAATTTTGTAAATAATTTCTATGTAGAGATTGTTAACTCAGGTAATATGCAGTAATGGTTTGAATAAATTCGAATTTTTATCTTTAAGTATTTCTTATAATAAAACTTTTTATAAGTTTTGCATGCCTTATAAAAATATATAAATAATATTTTTTGGTTTTATATTATATGGTGTCTCGTTGTAGGCTGCTATAATCCTCTAACAATCCTATTTTTGTAAATAATTTACAATAATTTATCTTTACACTAATTAATAAGCCAATTCTTTCTATGTGATTATTTAAGCTGGTAATAATCCTTACAAAACTGTGTACCTACCTTTCATATATATCTATAAAAGTCGCTGAAAATATCGATGAATTAAAATTTTAAACTTCTAGACTAAACAAATCATTTAGGTATTCGTTGTGCTTAACTATACAAATAAGCACTATCTCCGAATTGAATTTGCTCTAGCACAAATATCAATATTCAGCGTGAATTGCAACGGGTGTGTAAACTCAATTTCGTTTGGCCATAAAATTGTTTTGCAAACCTAAAGGCTCTCAACGGGGCTCTGTCGAGCCAAAAGGCAATCGCCAGTTTATTCAGCATTACTGGCCAGAGAACCCTTGTTATTAACGATTTCATTCCAGTAAGCCTATTAAAGCCGAGAAACAAAAGCGGGTGTTTAAAATAACTTTATCGGTATTCTTATTGTTGGAGGCAATAATTTTCAGGTGCCCGCAAATTATTTGTACATTCTTTGCCTGCCGTCTTGAGGTCGTTGATCCACGTTAAGGTTGGGTTTCATTTAACTATGAAGTGATCCGTCTAATGTGCATACTTGTAACGCTAGAATTATCATTAAAATGCTTACCAAATGGTTTGAACTTAAGACCTGTATGGTCATTGTAGTTTCGCCAATCAATAAGAAATCTTATTATGATTGCTTATAACTTATTATTGCCTAAATAATATCATGTACCTAAATTAAATTGACATTGAAAGAAAGAAAATATTTTTATTAGTCCAAACGTCCTTAGACATTGGATGTGAGATCAATTCGAAAAACAAAATAGAGATCTTCGATAATACTGATTTTGTTTATTTCAGTAGGTAAGCCTATTACAACAAGAAATATAAAAGAGGGCAATTTAAATATTACGCTGCTCTTGATAACTTGATATCCAATGCTCACTCGATTTTATTGAGTGATTTATTTTCAGTACTCGTCAATTTTTGTTTATTTGGCTCTACAATCTCTAAGAACCAATTTATTTATCTAGTTATTATTACATACATTGAAGTTCATTGAATTCGCATTCAGGTTGAAGAGAAAAGTCAGTAAAACATTTAAAGAAGAATTTGAAAGGAATGATACTCGTAGGTACAAATGGCCTCCGGTAATTTGAACATTTTAGGAATTCGTTGTTCATTTGTCGCATAATAATAAAAACCCCTCGTTAAGTAGGTATCTAATAACAATAAAAAGTCCTCGAATAATAAAAATACAGGGTGTTAGGTAAATGGGTATATGAGCCGACACTAGCCCATGTTAACATGGGCATATAAATGGTATGGTGAAGTCAGAAAATTAATATCTTCATTTTAATTATTTTAATTTTCATACAAATAGGATTTTATAAAAAATATTTTGTATGAAAATTTAAAAAAATAAAGTGATGATATCAAATTTCTGNATATCTTCATTTTAATTATTTTAATTTTCATACAAATAGGATTTTATAAAAAATATTTTGTATGAAAATTTAAAAAAATAAAGTGATGATATCAAATTTCTGACTTCACCATACCATTTATATGCCCATGTTAACATGGGCTAGTGTCGGCTCATATACCCATTTACCTAACACCCTGTATATGAAATATTCTGATCACAGAGAAAATTAAAAATGAAATGTCTATAAATTTTATGCAAACGTTTGTACAGAATGGAAAATGTTTACGCAGTTTTACTAAATGCTATATCTACTATACTTAGGTCGGATAGGTATAACATAATTTACTCACAAACGTGTAGAAAATCGTCGTACAAAACACGACACGTGTTGTATTGTAATTACACTGTCGGCTCCATTTTATCTTGCCTGAGGCTCGGGCTGTAATCCTCAATAATTACCAGCATAAAACAGTATTCTAATTTAGATTATACTGTCATTCGCATGTACCTACTTCTCTCCTAAGCAATTACTTAATAATAATGTATAATGATGATACAAAATTAAACATGAGCAGCTTATGTAGGTTTTAAACTCAGGTTTTAAACCATCTAGTTCTAAAGCAAAAGCATCTTGAAAGTTTAAAAGTAAATTAATTACATACTCCCAAGGTTCACAAACAAACAATTCTCTCTGTCGTTACAAGCTAAAATGTCTGCAAACAACCATCCATTTGCTATTTCTTCAGTGCCAAATCTAACAATAGCCTTCGATTAATATGAATATTATCGAAATAATAATTCATCTTCAGCCACGATGTTTGGCATCTAAGGGCATGGAAATTCGTCCGTGATATATTTCACTATCAATACTAAGTCGTAAAATTGGCAATGTGCCTTATAAAGACTCGGTCGTAAACCTTGCGGGCAACTTCGGTTCCAAATAATGTTTCTTATTAAGTTGCCTTTTATCGGATTACGAAAACAAGCGAGGATATCGAAATACTTTGGGTACACGGCTCGGCACTTTCGTATATTTAGGTTTTAAATAAAAAATGCACACTAAGGGGCTGAAAGGCAAATCCATAAATTTTAGGGACATATGCCCGTTTTNGACGGCCATTTGCATAATTGCATTTTCCATTAAACAATCTTCATTCTTCGTCATGCGTACCGCCCGCTGCATCAGTATGCATACTTAACTGATGAAGGATTACGCGGTGCTGGTGGGAATACGTCGGCTTATGTGATCGTCGCTTAGCCCTTCGGTTATGTAAGACATTGTCTCGGGGGCTTTGTAAGTGCTCTGTTTTGTATTGGCAATAAGGCAGCCGTGGGAGTTTATTGACTCTAGGTTCGGTGCGGCATGCGGCAGGTTGGCGGATGTAAATATTAGCACTTACCTAATCCATTGCCGACCCTACCTTATTTACTTTATTACACAATATGCTAGTTAATTTGTTATTGAAATGTCCTACATATATTAATTCGTATAGTTTTCAGCTCTTTGAAATTAATAGCATTGGGTCGATTACTTAAAAGGTTTACTATGAAAAATGCAATTTTAT